TTTCCCAATTTCGCTATTACGAAAAACTCCTCCATCACTTTGTCTTCCTTCCGCACCAATATCGACAATGGTAAAGCAATAGTTTGCACCGCTGATTGCCAGAAGAATAATACTGTGATGGCTTTTATAGTTGTAATATATTGATCCGCTATTTGGAGGAGCCTAAAAGAAAAAAACGTGTATTTATTTATCATAATATACATTATGTATATTATACTATTATACATATAACAATTATATGTATATTATACTATTGTACATAAAACAAATATTTTAACATTTAACGAAGTCTGCTATCTCTCAGATTCTATTTCGTACATATACCTGAATTTGAACATGCTTTCCATCGATGGCTCCTATACAATTTGGAAAGTTCCACAAACGTTCAAAGTCATTGGCTACAGTTTTCCAATTTTCTTTATCATCCTTGAGGAAAACTAAATCCTTTAGACAATTCCAAATAGCTTCACAAGTCTCAAATATTATTTTTGAAATTGTATTGTGTCCAACTCTGAAGGCATATGACAGGGATTTCATACTGTCTCCTGATGCTAAATAGCGCAGTGTAATTTGGAGCCGAGTCTCAGGTGAAATAGGATCGCGAATAAAATATTGTTTAGTAATAGTTGTTTAGTAATAGTCCAACTAATGCTAATAATGATTTAAATATTTGAGATGGCATTCTAAAGTAATCCACATATTTTTCTGTGTCTTCGGTCAACATTTCCTTAATAAGATTATCGCTTGCTCCTTGTTGCAATCTTCTTTCAGCACTAAATATAGGTCGCACCCAAAATTGTCGCTGTTTACTTTCATTTTTAATTGCAATGTTGTACAAAATATATAATTTTGCAATTTTACGGCATAGCGTCTGCTTTTGAAGTGCACACATACATTGATTTAACGACTTTAATAAGACACAAATAATTAAATATAACTTTTCCGACTTCATAACTGTACTAATAATTGTTTTTTTACATGTATATTGACGTGTATATTGACGAAGTACTTGTTTCTTGATTATGGAATTTTTGAATTTTGACGAATGTATACGTGTATATTTGATTCCGATCCACAGGAGTTTAGTTTCCTATGTCCCATGGAGCGGAACTTGCGGATGCGCAATCAATGCGAGCCAATGATAAACGCTATTCCTGTAATTCCAATGAGAGTGATCTACGGGAAGACTCTTGCGATTGGTCAACGTTAATTGCGCATTCCGCATATTCCGCTCCATGGGACATAGGGAAAACATACTTTAGCGGAACGGAATCAGTGGAATGAAGCCACGACCAATCACGAGCGTTCCGCCAATTCCGCATTGCGCCAATTCCGCACCATGGGACTCACTGCTCTTTCTACGGCAAAGCGACAGATATTTAACGCTGGCGACATTTTTCCCCCCACTTCTCTCAAGTCGCCAGCGATTTGTCGCTGTATGAATTCGCACCTTAAGGTTTACGAAACACGTGACCTACAGCCATATCCTTAATTGGAAAAAGCGCCAAATTTCAAATAATAGATATCGTAAATTAAAAATATTCAAAGTAAAATATTAATATTTTAAAAAATAACACACTACAAAAAATAATAAATATTTTTGAGATTTATTTGTTATTATATTTTATTAATTACTTATGTAACGTTATAAAATTATAAACAGTGTGATAAAACATACTTAAAAAATAAAATTTCATATAAAATAAATTGCGTATTTTATACATATATGTGGTGAGCCAAAAAAATAAAAAATTCTCTTATTATTTACTTCAAAATATGGTCGTTTGGTAGTATAAACGCCTAATTTTTCCGACAATTGTACAAAATTACTACCCATGTCGCTATAAATGAAAGCAATTACGTTTAATCCAATACCTTGTAATTTCACAATAGCTTCTAAAATAACTCTTCTTACATTATCAGCTTTAAATGTGGAATTGAGGAAAAAATAACCTAGCAGCTGTTTCCAAGATTGATATAAACCTCGTAACATAATAACAGCTACATTACACGCTGATAAAAAGGATT